TACAACGTTTAGGTGGGGGTGGGGGTGGCGGTTGTTTTTTCTAGTCTGGATTTTGTGAAATCCTTTCTCATTGGCGTTTCACCAATTACAAACGAGGCTGCTTATATTTCCACCTGTATCCAGGGCCACTGTGTTTCTTTCACTGTGAAATGACTGTTTATATCTTTTATCCATTCTTTTCATTTGGGGTTATTTGTTGTTGTTCATAGATATTTTATATGTTCAGTGTAATTCTTCATCAATTGTAATTATTGTAAATGATTTTTCCTAGTTTGTGGCTTCAAAAAATCATTATCAGTGCTCTTTAAATTTGTGCTAGTCTGGTGGGTGAAGACAATTGATTCTCAGTTTCATTTCATTCATTTGCCAATACTTCAAGCAAGTGTTCAAGTTTCCAAGCTGTGCCAGGCACTCTCCTGTACAACAGAGACAGAGCACTGAGTAAGCCCCAGTCCCACGGAGGGTCCATCTTCAAGTAGGGAACAGACAAGAAGCAGCCAGGCTTGAAGGTGGTCATAAACGGTACAAAGAAAATGAAGAAGGGGCCAGGAAGGGGAGTCCTGATGCAGAGGTGTGGTGGGCAGGGGCTGCTTTTTTATACTTGTTGGTGATGGCAGCCTTGTCAAGAAGGTGGTGCTGGAGCAGCCTAGGGGAATCTTGTACACATCTGCGGAAGAAGCTTCCAGGTGGAAAGAAGGGCATAGGCCAAGGCTGTCTGGACACCTGTCCTTGTTGTCCAGGGAACCACAGTGCTCCTACTTGGGCTTCAGGAAGAAGGGTGTACGAAGTTAAGGTAGAAGGATGGGCACAGACCTCAGGGACCTCAGGTATCCCATGAAGATGTGTCTTACTCTCAGCAAGGTGGGCCTCAGAGAAGGGCTTTAAACCGAACATGTACAAGTTAGTGACATTGATTACATTCTGCAAGTTGTACAATTATTACCCTTTTCTCCTAAAATTTTTCTCCCCCGTCAACATAAACTCACTGGCCCCTAAGCTTCCTGTGCTGACCTATTGAGTTGGTGGTGTTAGTGTGGTCCGACATGGGTAGTTCTTTGAAAGAGCACATGGTTCAAGGCAGACACCCTGATGCTTTTGATTTTGCTTATGAAAACAGAGACTGAGAAGGGTAGAGAACACGGTGACCACCAGGCAGTAGAGCCATAGCTCAGTGCATAGATGGCTCACCTGGAACCACACCATCTGCAGGCACATCCCTGCCCTGCCTCCCACTGGCTGTGACACTCAGCTCCAGGAATGCAGATCCTTGGGAGCATTTAAAATAATGAGCATAAAGGAAAAGGCCAGGTACATAAGCTGATCACTCTGTGTGTCCTGTGCTTCAAGCGGTAGCCTCCACGCTGCTGCCTGTAAGAATTTGCTTGCTGTCTCACCCAGGATTGATATTACTATCCTTTGAATTATTACTATGCTTGAAATTTGCACCATGCCGTTTAGCTTATAATCAATATGTCTCGCCAATTAAATTGTCTCTTCCAGTAAATTGAAAAGTCTAGGGAACTGTAGCTCCCTGGGTAGTTGCCCACATGTAGACTCAGCCCTAACCCTTCAAAATTCACATTTGTCTTTACATCATTAAGGAGAGGAGTGGGCACTTCAGGAAAGATTTGCCATGCCAGCTTTGAAGGTTGGATATCTGGAAGATCGATGTGTAAATGCAAGGACCCAGAATAGCCAAAACAATCATATAAAAGAAGAAAGGGCTAAAGACGTAGCCTACCTGAGAAATCAACCCAGAGCCACTGCCGTAGCATAGGAATTAACATGTTGTTGAGTGGGTCAAAATTGAGAGCAGAAATGGGCCCATATGTAGATGCCTGATTGATTTTCTTTAAATGGCAGTTCATTGGAGAAATTATTTTCCAGAAAATGGTACTGAAACAATTGAATATGCTTTAAAAATATGGTTTAAAAACCCTTTCATTGTTATTTCACATTTCATACAACATTTAATTTGAAGTGATTGATCCAAATGTAAAACTTCTAGAAGTCTTCCTAGGGGAAAATGTTAGTGACCTTCAGATAGGCAACGACCTCAAATAGAGCCCAAATCATGAAAGAAAGGGAAAAAAGATCACTTAGACTTCATCAGATGTTAAAGCTTTTACTCTTTGAAGTGCACTTTTAAGAAAATGAAAAGGTAGGCCAATAAATATATGCAAAATATATATCCGATAAGGACTATCTAGAAATGATAAGAACTCTTTGTATCCAATTAGAAAAACAAATATAAAATCCAATAAAGAAAAAAAAGGCAAATTATTCAAATAGATATTTCTCCCCTAGAAGTATTCAGGAGAAATGAGAATAGATGTCCACATAAATACCCACCCGTGAGGTTCATAGCTTAATTCATGACATTGTTAGGTACCCTTGAGTCAATTCCATCTCATAGAAATCCTACATCCACTGGAACAAGCCCTGCCCGGTCCTATGCCATTCTCAAAAGCCTTGCTGTGTTTGAGACCATTGTTGCAGCCACTGTGTCGGTGCATTTGGTTGAAGGGCTTCCTCTTGTTCACCAACACTCTACCGCCACGAGCCCTTCTCCAGTTACCTGTCCCTCCTGCTCACATGAACAGAGTACGTGCGTGAGTCTCCCCAGCTTCACCTCCAAGGAGCATCTGGCCTCTTCCGAACGAGGATGGTTTGTGCTTCTGGCAGTCCACAGTGTATTCGTTATTCTTCATCAACTCCAGAATTCGAAGGCGCCAATTCTGCAATCTTCCTAATTCATTATCTGACGTTTGCATAGGTACATGGGAATACCATGGCTTGGGTCAGGGGCACCGTAGTCTTTTTTTTTCTGACTGTAAAACCTTTTTTTGTGGTTTAAACAGTTTTATTGGCACTTCATCCACATATCACACAATTCAGTAGTTCAACCATATCAAGAGGGTGTTGTACAATCTTTACCACAATCCATTTTAGAAACTTTTTTCCTCTGTGCTCAATGGTATTCATGTAATTTTCCCCCCATCTTGGCAAAAATATACACAACAAAATATTCACCAGTTCAACAACTTCTATATGTATAATCCAATGCCATTGGTTACACTCTTCGTGTTGTACAACCATGACTGTTATCCTACTCCACATTGCTCCACCACCATTAACATGAACTCAGGGCACTAAGCATGGTAACCATAGGGCAAGTTTGGCTTGTTTATTTCTGTCTTTCTTTTACAGTAGTTTTCTTGATATGATGTTCACATATCATAACTTCCATAGTTAAACTGCTTCTGAAAAGAGCTGTATATTCGTCACCAGTCACCTCTAATGCTCCCTCCCCCACCTTAGTATTAAAAGTTTCTTATTTGCTTTAACACCTTAAAGAAATCCTTTGCATTAGATTTGCTTTCTCTCTTTTTTCTTTCTTACATCCGCTTTCTGACCACTGCTTCCACAGACATGACTGTCGGTCCAAGTAATGTGAAACCCTTTACCACTTCAGTGTTGTCTCTGTTACTCAGAGTAGCCCAGAAAGTGAGGCACAAACAAAATGTCCTTCTCTGAGCCAGTGTCCGCATCAGTGTTAGCTGTTCCTTGGGATGCACTCAGCCATAAAAAGGAAAACCCTAGACGTGCCTTCAACAAGGTGCCTCGGTCAAAAGCATTGTGCTTCTGAGTTAAGTCAGAGAGGTAAGACATCAAAGATGACGTACTCTGTATGATCCCTTTATATACACTTGGAAACTGTAGTTATAGAAATCGGACGGATGGCCTTTGAGGGTGGGGGTCAGGGTGGGACAAATTGGCTGAAAAAGGCACGAAGGAACGTTGTCATCCTCATGGTAGACCTTAAAGAGGGGGCTCCAAAAGGTTCATGAAAAATTCCATTTCCCTTTTCCATAAATGCTTTGATAGCCCCTCACATGGCACTGCACATCAATGAAAAGACTATCAAATAGAACGTGTCCTATGGGTGAGGTCTACCATGTGTGAGGTCGCTTTTTTCCTTGGAAAGGTATCCGCTGCAGGCAGTGAGGCTGCTGGTTTCTGGAGACAGACAGGTTCCAAGGCTGATGATGTGTGAGTGAGTAGGCATCGTGTGGGTCTCATTACATTGCTGGGCTCCTTCCATCATGTCCGCGCGCAGGCCCCATCTCACTTACTGTCTACACCATCCAGGGAGGACAGGGCATTATTGCTGCTCTGTTTCCCAGCTGCGTGCAAACCTGTTCAGACTCTAAGCAATGGGTGGTAGCAGAGCATAATGCGAGGACCATTCAAATGTGATGGTACTGATTTTAGGGATTAAAAAGCAACAAATCTGGGCTCTCATCTCGACTCTTCCCCTCGGGAGCTGTGTAGCTTGGGCAGTTTCTTTTTTTCAACTGTCATCTGGGCACAGCGTATAGAGACACGGATGCACGTCCTGCTCCCAGGGACTCAGGAGTGCTTATGGGCACCTCACATTTGAATCTACAAAGTGGAGGGATCAAGCCCATCCGCCTGCCTCACGGGCCTGCTGAGATGAAAGAGAAGCTGTGCGGGGCACTTTCCAAACTGAGTGGGGCCGCGCCAGTGAAGGGGGTTGACATTTGTATTCTCTTATGGCCTTTACAGTGATGTAGTCTTCCGTACCTCAGAATGTTCAGGGAAATAACCCTAGACCCCCTGTGTAGACTGTCTGACTGGATCCAGTTACCCATGTAGCCCAGCAGAAGAAGCCGGCTCCTCGAAGACAACGCTGTCACTGAGTTAGAATATGTTCGCTCCAAACACAGAGAGGAAAACAAGACCGCTGACTCTGAGGCAGAACTGGCTCCCGAATTGAGAGGTCTCCCCAGGAACTGTGGTTTGCAGTGGCCAGGCAGGCCCAGAAAATCCCGGGAGGCAGATGGGAAGATGAGACTGTCCTTCTGGAATGTTTCAGGAGTCTTTCCTTCGGTTTGTAATGATACTGTAATAATTCCTAGAGGGCAGACTGACATCATATCAGGCACCTTAAACCTTATCATCTTCCTCTCTTTCAGACAGAAACCGTCTCCGTCAGTCGCGAACCGCTCAGCAGCATTTTGCTATGGACGTAGAAGATGAAGAGAGCATGAGTAAGATGTAGGCCTAGCGCCTCGCACCAGATGTAGCTAACTTTCCCTTTAAATGTGTTTACTGAGACCACTTTGGGGAAGGGGGTGTTTCTAATGATGTGGGCTGGTTTCAATGTCTGATGTACCCTCTCCTACCAGTGTGCATGCAGATGTTCGGTCCTTGTCTCAGGGCATCGTCGCACATCGAGGGGCCTGTCACATGCCGAGTCAGGTCACTGCCTGCATCTCCAGGAACAACCTTCACGTTCGATCTAAATACCTGGTCACTGGGTTCAACTGTGCAGCGATACTGCCTTTCCAACAGAGTACAGTCGATGCTCCTGCATTTTGCGCAAAGGGCTCACACTAGTCTGTTAATCTTCACTTTACCAAATCCTCAAGGCAATTTAAGGGTGATGTGACCCCCAAACTTAGCTTCAAGCCCTTGCTCTTCTTTAGAATTCCTTCTTTGGGGCCATAGGAGGGTGGAGAGCCTTGGGATCACCCCCAGCCTTTTTCCTCACTCTACATTGCTCCCCATGAGGGAGGCGGTGAACACACGGTTTTCTTCAATCCCAAATGGCAGTGCTATTAAGCAAAGGCTGACGTGCTCCCACCGAATCAGGAAGTTTGGAGCCAGGAAGCGCAGTGCAGACATTGTCCTTCTCACTGCACCTGTGGACGTTTACCTTCTCTCTGGTGTGTCTCAAGGAGAGCACGCAGCGCCGAGGACTGACTCCCACACACAGAGTGGTGGGCTCTGGGGCTAGGACTTGGTTGAGAGCATTGCTCTGTGGCTGCACACAAGGAGTCAGGGTGCAGCGGTGGGGCAGTCGGCTGCTAACTGAAAGGTTAGCAGTTGGGGAACCCCCATCCCCTCCCCAAACTCTGTGGGAGAAAGGCCTGGTGACTGCTCTCATGGAAACGACAGCCAAGAAAAGCCCTCCGGGGAAGTTCTAATCTGTCACATGCGGACACTCTGAGCCCCAGTCCACTGTCTGATTCCCAGTCCACTCGAGGACTCCTAACCACAGCAACTCCCACAGATGGCCACTGACACTTTGGAGCTGTTCTCCTCTCCCACACGTGGTCAGTGGCCGTGTTGTTGTTTTTTTGCTGTGGAGGAGATCACGTGGGCCTTGTCCTTGGTGATAGAACGTGTGTGTGGCATGCCCTCCCTGCGTGGGTGGAGTCGGCCACCAAGGCAAGTGCTCTCAAGTGCTATCCAGGACCGATGAGCAGCCCCGCCGCACCTCTGCCAGCCTCCCGGCTCTTTAGACCCCACCTGGGCTCCTACCCCAGTCCCACACCACCTCTCCAGGTTTGCTTCCCTTCCTAAGAGCAAGGTTAGGGCTCCTACTCTGCACTGGACAGCCACTGAAGGTGAGGTGTTCAGGGTCCCTGCAGAGGTCCTGGCCAGAGGGGAGGGGGACTGCCTCTTGGTCCGGAAGCTGCATAGCAGCAAGCATCTGGCCCCACGGGGAACCTCACTGTCGTATTGATTATATAACCTGGCTATTTGGCTATTTGATCAGCAGGGCACTCTCCCCTGCCCAAACCAATCCTCCCGTCATCTATTAAAGCAAGCAATCCTTCCAAATGATTTTTTTCCTGGAAGATAGGCTGCTACTTGTGGTGTAGAAATGTTGAAATGTCAGTCCCTCATTTTCCATCATTTTAAAAGCAATGAGGAATTGTATCAAGATTAGTACTTAGTAGCATGCTATGTACAGAGAAGGAATCTGTTAAGGGGTGTGTATGTCATGGTAATGGGGTGTCCTATTTTAATTTTTTATTTTCCTTTATATAGTAGCATTTTACTCAGGTGGGCAATGAGCAGTGCTTCCATTGCTTCTGAAGTCAGAATTTAGAATGGATGTGAACTATACTAAAGTCTATTTTTATTTATAACCTCAAGATTATTGGTTATTCCAACACTGAGTCATTTTATTTCTTAAAGGGAAGCACTCAGTAATCTCAGCAGTTTTACATATTTGATTAAGTGCCCATCCAAGCATATTTACTGTGATTTGATTTCTATGTTGATAAAGAATTCTGTTTAGCTATGAAATTAAGGTACAAGCAGTAATGTAGCGTGTGATGTTCTTGCTCAATTTATTAACCTCTGCCTCCCTTCTTGGCTCTGTTTTTCTTTCGCTTCCTATTCCCCTTGAGCACCGAAAGGAGTAACCTATCGAGCTTTTGCTGGAGGATGTTATAAATGAAAATTTAGTGACCATTCCGTCAGCTTTGTCAACTGGGACAAGTGGTGTGTGTGCGCCAGGCGTGTTCTGGGAAAGTGAGGAGAGTAGAGCGAGTTAGAGTCCGCAGGCCTCCCTCAGGGCAGTCTCAGTGCCCCCATGGGTGGTGTAGGTGTAAACAGGACCCAGAGGGACCAAGGAACCAAAGCCCCGGAAAACTAAAGCCCTGAGCAGCCAGTGACTCGAGCTTCAGTCCCATGAAACCTTTGCATGGAGTGAACTTGGGGACATGTTCAACAGATTTTCGCATCAGGTAGTGAAATTGCCCCACCCCTAAACACCTTGGGGGGCATTTACAAGTCAGTTTACAATGTTAAAAAGGCATTTTCCCATTTGAAAGATAGGGTGTGGGTTTTTGCTAGCTCTGGTGGCAGCAGGTCTTTATCCATCAGGTGACCAGTGTGCCTCTGCTTTGTGCCTCCCCTGGCCTGCGAAAAATGGACCCTGGTGAAAAAGAAAGTGTTTTTCTCTCCCTGAAAAGAACTTGCTAAACTTAACAAAGATGGAGTGAATGCTTTTTGAGCCTCCTTTCAAAATCAAAGTCATCCTTATTGTGTCAAGGAGGACTAGTCACTTGATGGTATTAAGTTTAGCTCTTTCCCTTTAAAAGGTCCCTGGAGGCCCCTTGTGGTGCTGATAGCTAAGCATTGGACTAGGAATCACAAGGTCAGCAGTTCAAACCACCAGTGGCTGCATGGGAGAAAGATGAGACTGGCTCCTTCTATAAAGATTTAGAGTCTCAGAAACCCTTTGTAGGCTCCCATTGAGTCGGAATCAACTCAATTGCAGTGTAGCCAAACTATTTTAGAAGTCCACCAGGTAGTTACAAAAGAGAGAGACACAAAATTGTCAGCTTTCATTAGGAAGTTAGAGCTAACCTGTCGCTTCAGTTTTATAGCTTGTTCTTATAGTTCCTCCCTATCATGCGCTAAAGATTCAGAAATAAATTCTCATGTAGAATGATAATTTTTAAGGTGAATGCTAGATGTAAGTAAATCCATAATCTCCAAAAATAGTGTTTAAAAATCAGAATATTTTACATAAGCCATTTTCTAAGATTAATTCATGAACGCACATATGTTCAACTTGCATATGTTGATTAAGAATTTTAAACATGAGAGACAAATTAACTAGTGGGTGCACATTTCTAATAATATTTCCTCTTGATGTGTTGCAATTTAAATGAAATTGAGAAAAAGGAAAAAGAGGCAAGTGTCAACATGAAATATCTACTTGTCTGTGCTCATATTAAATGATCATTTCTCCAGACTTATTAATGTAGGTTCCCTCTCAATAAATTTAACAGCCCTCATCTTGGTAAGCTTAGGTAAAGCATCTCTAGGTGCTTTAGAATATTATCATTAGAAAAATAATATATTTTTAACTCACCTTTTAATGTAGAAGCAGTTGGTGATATTAAATAGAGACTATGTTGGCCATCCACTCTTCACCAAGATGCCCGAGGACTAATTTCAGTGTAGGAGTTTGTCCGGCTAGGAGTAACATGTATGAGCACACATCACTTAACCAGTTACAAAGATAGATAAAGGAATCTATAAATTTTGCATTTACAAGATCCTGCAACGAAGGCGTTGTAAGTTACTCTTTCTGGGCACCGCAGGTTCCAGCAGCGCCGATGTTAAGGAAAACCGCAGTCTGGACAACGTGGCCCCCAAAGATGGCAGTGCCCTGGGGCCTGGGGAGGGCGCCCAGCTCTCCAATGGGGGCGGCGGTGGCAGCACCAGCAGGAAGCGGCCTCTGGAGGAGGGCAGCAATGGCCACTCCAAATTCCGCCTGAAGAAGCGGAGGAGGACGCCGGGGCCTGTCCTGCCCAAGAACGCCCTTATGCAGCTGAACGAGATCAAGCCAGGCCTGCAGTACACCCTGCTCTCCCAGACGGGCCCCGTGCACGCGCCTCTGTTCATCATGTCCGTGGAGGTCAATGGGCAGGTGTTCGAGGGCTCCGGCCCCACAAAGAAGAAGGCGAAACTCCACGCCGCGGAAAAGGCCCTGCGGTCCTTTGTCCAGTTCCCAAATGCCTCCGAGGCCCACATGGCCATGGGGAGGACCCTTTCGGTCAACACGGACTTCACGTCTGACCAGGCCGACTTCCCCGACATGCTCTTCAACGGCTTTGAGACCCCAGATAGGCTGGACCCACCCTTCTACATGGGCTCCAATGGGGACGACTCCTTCAGCTCCAGTGGGGACCTCAGCCTGTCAGCGTCCCCCATCCCTGCCAGCCTCATCCAGCCGCCCCTGCCTGTGCTCCCACCTTTCCCGCCCCCGAGCGGGAAGAACCCGGTGATGATCCTGAACGAGCTGCGGCCCGGACTGAAGTACGACTTCCTCTCGGAGAGTGGGGAGAGCCATGCCAAGAACTTTGTCATGTCGGTGGTGGTGGACGGCCAGTTCTTTGAAGGGTCAGGGAGGAACAAGAAACTGGCCAAGGCGCGGGCCGCCCAGTCGGCCCTGGCAGCCATTTTTAATTTGCGCTTGGACCAAACACCGTCTCGCCAACCCATCCCCAGTGAGGGGCTTCAGTTGCATTTGCCGCAGGTGAGGACCGAGTGCTCCCAAAGTACAGGGTTGGCTTAGGTAGGCCTTGTGGCATTGCATAGACTCCATCGTCATGTTGCTCGGCAGTCTCCAGGAGTAGTGTTGGGAAGTCTGGTCAGGGGGAGCTGCACTTGGTGCAGAGGTGGAGTGGTGAGTGCAGGCCTGACCTGGGCCGAGTGGGGCTGGGACGCTGCCACCAGTGTCCATACGTAGCTACATGGGTATCTGCTTATAAGGTGCCCACCCCCACTTGGCCCATGCTCTGTAGAGACCCTTTCCTCAGACAGCTTAACCTCCAGCTCTGGGGCATTTTCCTTTAGAGGCTCAACTGGGAGGCTTGTGTTCAGTCCATGGGCTGCTGCCAGGCCCAGCACAGGCCAAGTGTCCAACCTCAGCCCCCGGGTTCCCAGCCAGCAGCTGTATTCCTGAGGCCAGCACATGGGAGCACAGAGGTAGCGGACATCAAACCACGGGCATTGAGAGCGGGCTGTGGGGTAGCCGCATAGACAACCCTTCCTACCATGGCCTGGATCTCCAGTGCTCTGAATTTCCTGTGTGGGGATCCTGTGGGCAGCCACTCAGGCCTGGCCTTGGATGATGGAGCCAGAGGGGCTCCGGCTTGGCCCAGACTGGCATGCACGAGGAAGGACGAATCAGAGAGAAATAAGTGGCACTTACTGATCATTCAGTCCTAGAACTTTGTGTTTCTTCTTTTTGGGAAACCCAAACTTCTTAATGTCAATTTAAAACCAATTGTTTGTTTATTTGTTTGTTTGTTTGTTTAAGGAGGGCATCTAACCTCCTTCACTACTCCCCTTTGGCAAAATATTCCATTTGAAGATGAAGTGCATCCCTATGTAAAAATACATGCAGATGTGTTCACTTGGATCTGAATGGATGGCGGCCAGACAGCTGACAGAGAGGAGGGCCTCTCTCTCCCCTGGCAGAGTAGGACAGCATTGTAGTTTGCCTTGGGGGTCCAAGTACAATGACCTCCAGGCAGCTGCCCTGAGAGGACCCATAGTTCTCCAGTTTAAAACAAGGAAATGTATTGTGTTTTACCCAAGACAACCTTAGTATGAAATAACTCATTCAAAGTATTTTACTGATATTCTTGTGATCCAAATATTTGCTTCCATGTTGATTCTGTTTAACATTATTCAGAAGTTTGATTGGCCTATTTATAATTTTATGAAACCACTCTGTAGATCCCAAGTGACTTTTTTCAAGTTTACTGTTTGCTTAAACATTTCATCTGAGTTCAAAATAGCCCCGACATGACTCATCTTCCTGACTGTCAGCAGAATGGTGTGCACGGTATTAGAATGGCTTCTGTGCTGTGAGCACCCTCCCCCGCCCCCTCACCGGGCTGGCAGCATCTCAGAGGGGAGGCAGGTGAGTGGGACTCTAAGCCCTTTCCCCCAGCTGGCTCAATGATGTCCTGTGGGCAGTTATCAGGGCCCCTGCTTCGCATGTCGCACTGGTGCTACCTCAGGAAGACAGGGCAGGTCAGACCCATAGGATGACCGCCCCCCACCCCCTCGGTGTTGGGCTGAGAGTGTGGCATGTCCCTCCCCTACTACTTTTTCTGAGGCTCCTCGCCCATCCCTGCCCACTGGTATATCTTCTGGGGCCTCCAGATCGCTTACACATGTGATTGATCCCCTTTCCCTCCGGGCCTGAGCAGGACAGGGCGGGTAAGGGGGAATGGTTGGGGGTTTGCAGAATTCATTGATTGTTGTGAGTCTCTGTGGTTTCTTTGGAAGAAAGAGGAGGCTTTCCACCCCCATAAAGAGTTACCGTCTCAGAAACCCACAGGGGTTTCTACCCAGCCCTGTGGGGTCACTGTGAATTGGAATCAACTGGATGGCAGTGAGTTTTTTTATTTGGTGGTCCTTTGTTTGGGAACTTTAAAGTGAACATTCTAGAGCCATCCCTGAAGGAGTTCAGCTAGCCCCAGTCTTAAGAGGTTGGCCTCCCTGCTGTTCTTTGAGGCCTTAGGGTGTTTCTAAAATCAGAGGGCACCAGCTGTGCAGGGGCTTGCCCTATGCTGTCCACAGCAGGAGTTTTTTGCAGATGGCTTGCTCTCCTATCCCTCCAGCCACTAGGGAAGGTTCTCCGTACTTTTGCGCAGGATTGCTGAAGCTGGCTGCAGGCAGGTGGGGAAGACTGGGGAAGCTGGGTGTTTCTGTGACTCTAGACCAGCGGTTCTCAACCTGTGGGTAGTGACCCCTTTGGGGGTCGAACGACCCTTTCATGGGGATCGCCTGATTCATAACAGTAGCAAAATGACAGTTAGGAAGTAGCAACGAAAATAATTTTATGGTTGGGGGTCAGCACAACCTGAGGAACTATATTAAAGGGTGGCTTCATTGAAAAGATTGGGAACCACTGCTCTAGTCACTGCCCAAATTCAGTGAGCAGTTGCTTCAGGGGACTGTGGCTCTGCCAGAGTGAGCTGCCCACGGGCCGAGGCTCGCCTCTCTCAGGCAAGTGCAGACCTGTCTCGGCCTCACCTGCCTGCTTCTAACAAATCAGTGCCAGCAGGAGGCCGGAGCTGGACTCTGGTCATCGCTGGATTACAGCCAGACCCCTGTGCTCTCACGACAAACTTGAAGAAACCCCCTCTGCTGTGTCTCCTCTAACCGCCCTCATTCACTTCTGCTTTCCATACATTCAGAGAAATGGCCTTTCCCCTCCACTGCCCGCGCTCGTTCCCTGCACACAACTCTGCCTTTCTGCCACTGCAGCTCCTCCACTGTGCTCCTGTCTGCCACCAGGGCCCTTGCGCACGGTGCAAAGCCAGGACAAGACTCCCGCCTCACCCCTGCCTGCCTGGCCTGGAACACGCCCGGAGGCCTATTGGCATTTGCTGCTGGCACAGGCCAGGAAGAAATCCACCCACTACACCCTCACTTAGGACGAGGAGTTCACTAAGAGCCAAGCCAGGGGCATCAGGCTTACCTAGTGTCCCTGTGACGGTCCAAGAGGTGTGAAAGGGGACTGTGGGTGTGCACTTGGCTCATTACACTTACCCTCTCCTTAAGTGTGTTGCCAAAGACACTCGGGCTCATCGTATCTAAGATTCAAGAGACCCCACCCAGTGGATCATCAGCCATAAAGTCACAACCATGTCCAAATATTTGTGTAGTCACTGTTCTGATCATGTCCAAGTTGACACATTGCAAACCCAAGGATTTCACATCGTCCCTCCTTAGCTGTAGCCTCTAGTCCCTTAGAAAAGTACCACTCTGAGTAATGAATATTCCTACAAGTTCTAAACGTGGTTCCTAAGTGGATTGAGCTGGGCACGCTTAATAAGACAGTGACGTAACTAGGAAGCCCACCTGAGCTCACTCACAAGTGCCTAGGAGAGCAGGGCGCTGGGGAAGCTGCGTGGCCTGTAATCCATCAGGCAGCCCCTTCTCTCTGGCTGTGAGTGTGCTTCTCACACCCTGGAGTCTGCCTGGCCTTGTCCACTTCCAGGAGCTGAGCTGGATGGAGTGTGGCATGAGAAAGGACTGAAAGGAGCTAGAGTGTGTCTAGGGCCTGGGGACAGTGGGAGGCCTTCAATGGGAGAGTCACTGGCGGTGGGTGAACCCAGGGTGGGTGGAAGCAGACCACCCAGTACAAGTAGCCTTGAGCAAATCATGCTTCCCCTTCTGGGCCTCGGTTTCCTTCTCTAGGCAGGAGTTTGAGAAGGTCAGTCTGGGTAGACCAGAGGATATACACTGGTACAGATAGGAACTGAAAATACAGGGAATCCAGGGCGGATGAACCCTACAGGACCAGTGGTGTGAGTGGCGAAACAGGGAGGGTAGAGGGAGAGTGGGTAGGAAAGAGGGAACCGATTACAAGGAACTATATGTGACCTCCTCCCTGGGGGACCGACAACAGAAAAGTGGGTGAAGGGAGACGTCGGACAGGGCAAGATATGACAAAATAACAATTTATAAACTATCAAGGGCTCATGAGGGAGGAGGGAGCAGGGAGGGAGGGGAAAAATGAGGACCTAATGCCGGGGGTTTAAGTGGAGAGAAAATGTTTTGAAAATGATGTACAAATGCGCTTTACACAATTGATGTGTGTATGGAGTGTGATAAGAGTTGTATGAGCCCCTAATAAAATGATTTTAAAAAAAAAAGAAAATTCAAAAAAAAAAAAAAAGTTTGCGAAGGTCAAGGGGTCAGCAGGTATGTAACTCCACCATGGCCTTTGGAGACCGTGTGGAAGGGTTCACAGGTAGAACTTATGGGCTCCTTCAGGAAGTACATGCACACGCCCACACACTCATGCCTATACCCTGCATACTTACGTGCACATTGCTCCTGTCCACGTATGTTCTCACCTCCTTCACTGACACCATGCCTATACACATCTGCTTAACAGATCCATTCATACATGTATCCTCTTGCACACACACACCTCTCATACACACACATTTGCCACATTCACACGTGCAGTTCCAGGGCAGAAATGACCTGGGGTGTCCCCTGTGCGGGGCGTGCTGGCTGGCCCTGGCGAAAGCACTGGCTCTGCTCCCAGGTGCACACCAGTGCCCCTAACCCTGCCTCTGTGATCCCCAGGTATTAGCAGATGCTGTTTCGCGCCTGGTTCTGGACAAGTTTGGTGATCTGACTGAGAATTTCTCATCCCCTCATGCACGTAGAAAAGTTCTTGCTGGAATTGTCATGACAACAGGTAAAAAGATTGATCTTGTATTTAGCCCTCAAAGTGTCCTAAAAAACTTTTTTTTTTGACACGTGAAATGCTCCTAGCCTTTAAATATCAACTGCCACTACTGGTAACCGCTCTTCTTCTGAGTCTCTGCTCTGGACAAACAAAGGAACTGCTTACGTTTACCCTGAATGCGTACAGCTTTCTGGCCCAAGTTTATTTCCCTTAGAGACACAGTACAGTTGTCACTAGTTGGTCCCCAGTTGTAATTACCTGAGTGGTCTCCATCTGCGGAGACCCGTATTCTGATTTACTGGTTAATGTCAGGGTGGGGCAGGGAACAACTTCAGCAGAGTAAGACTTGGGGCGTGCTGGGGTGGGGGTAGGCAGGGTGGAGATGGTTTAGTGGGGGCAGAAGAAACCTTAGTGGATTTGTCTACAAGTTCCCAGTAAAGAAGGGACCCTCCAAGACCCCTTGTCCCATATCCCAGGCAGGAAAGGGGCTTATTGGTAGCATTTTTCTGTGGCTAACTCCTGGGCCAGGACTCCGGGGGTCAGGGGAGAGTCAGCTGCTCCAGGGTGAGCACCTCAGGCCTGCTGCTGACCTATGGCCCAACCCACCCAGCCAGTGATTAGGTGGCTTTTTATAGACTCCGGAGGGAGGGAGGGAGCTGGAGATGGTATCTGTCTGTCTATACCTCCAAGTCAAGGAGAAAGCCCTAGAAGAGGCTCTGTTATCCTTTACTACTGAGGTAATTACCCCCAACAGCCCATGGAAAGACAATGGTTCTGTAGTCTAGCAAAGCCCTGGTGGTGCAGTGATTAAGCTTCCAACTGTGAGGTTGGCGGTTCTAAGCCACCCAGTGTCACAGCAGGAGAAAGACCGAAGTATGTACTCCTGTGATGCTGAGAGCCACAAACCCCCTCCCCTCTCCCATAGGGTCTCTCTATGAGTTGGAATTGGTTCCGTAGGCACCCACCTCCCATGGGGAACATACACGCCATGTTCATCACAGTGGAGCCCTGGTAGAGTCCTGGTGGCATGTTGGGCTGTGATTCTCCTGATCAGCAGTTCAAAACCACCAGCAGCTCTGCAGGAGAAAGACTGGGCCTTCTGCCGTGGTAAACAGTTCCGGTCTCAGAAACCACAGGGGGTCGCTCTGAGTCGACCCTGACTCCGTATCAGTGAGTGTATTAGTCACAAGCACTTCCTTCCTGTGCTGTATCTAATCTTCCATGGGGAAGATGTGTTGGGGGTGAGGGGTGGGGTGGAAGGATGAAGTCTAGTGAGCCTTAACTTGGATTTGACTGTTTAACTTCCCTGTTTGATACCGTTATTTTTCATCCTGCACTGCCTCAGTTGTTTTACTCCCATCCATTACAACATTAGAGGGGCCCTGGGGCCTAGTGGTTGCAGGCCGGGCTGCTAACCACCAGGTCTTCAGTTTAAAACCACCAGCTGCTCCTTGGGAGAAAGATGAGGCTGTCTGCTCCTTGAAGAGTTACAATCTCGGAAACTCACGGGGCCAGGCCCACCCTGTCCTATAGGGTCGCTGTGAGTCGGCATCGCCATGAGGGCAGGGAGTTTGGTTTGGGGCATTAAGTAGAGAGTGAGGGGACATCGCAGAACAAGCCCACAGGGAGAGCCACGCGCTCACCGAGCGTCTGTTTGCAGCTTGAACGCAGGGAGTCTCACTGAAGAAGAGATGCCGGCAGCTGGAACTGCAGGTTGGCCCTTGAGGTCAGGCTTCTTCCTGTGGAAAGCGAGGCCACGGAGGCCACAGTTCAGACGTGTGGAGCACAGCTGTCTGTCGAGCACTGCTGTGGACCGCAGGGAGTCATTTAGTTTTTCTTTTCCAGGCACCGACGTTAAGGATGCCAAGGTGATCAGTGTTTCCACAGGGACCAAATGTATCAACGGGGAGTACATGAGTGACCGTGGCCTGGCGCTAAATGACTGCCATGCAGAAATTATCTCTCGGAGGTCCCTGCTGAGATTTCTCTATACACAGCTTGAGCTTTACTTAAAGTAAGTGGAAGAAGTCCAAGTGCGTAAAGGAGGCCGTTTTCAGAGAATATTCTCCTCTTGCCATCGTTCTTTTTTTTTAATGCCACAAAACCTCTCTCTGCTCCTGGAACCATTGCAAGCGTCTCGAAACAGTCACCTTAGCTGTGTCCCGTGACACTCAAGCTGTGGGGCAGAGCTGGCAGAAAACACATGGTGCAGTTGGTGAGAGAGCACGATGCGCTACAGTTCAAGGCCTGTATAAAACGAGCCCTAGAACTTCCTGAACTGCCTCGTGAGATGGTCCTTTTTATCTTCACCCATGCCTGTGCCCCTCTCTGCCAGGGGAAGCCAGCCTCGAACACATCATCACGGGTCCGGTAGGCACAATTGTGCAGCTATAATAAGTAAACATTATAGTAAAGTCATAGAGGCATGAGAGATAAAAGCGAGAGATAGTGAAATAATGGAGTCAGACACATTTCATGGTAGCATGCTTACCTCAGCCCCGCTTGGCGGTCCACGTGGAGAGAGCGATCTTGAATGCTAACCAAGGCTTTTATATTCTCTGGGGACATGAAAGCCCCCTAATTACAGGTGAAGACATACATCACAGGAAGGGGTTGCGCTATAGGTAATACAGTAATGGAAGGGGGTGATCTAGGGGTATCCACGCAATAGGAAGAGGAGGGATTAGGGGGATGCATGTGGCAAGATGGACGGATCCTAGATACAGGATGGCAGCCTAACTTTGGGTGTCCTGGAGCTGGTTTGATCTGTTCTCTGGATCTGCAGAAGAACCATTATCAGTAGGGTGTAAACCCCACCTACAGGAACCAAGCTAATGGTCATAAGCTTCAGGGAGAAATAGTCCATTGTCCCCAGCCAGGATTGGGTTTACCCTGTAGTCTGGCGATTAACTGCCTTCAGGGAGGATGTAAGCATCTGACCTCCCCCCACACCCCTCCAAGGGAGAAGCGTGAGGCACTCTATCCCCATGGAGAGTTACAGGCTGGGAAACCCACAGGGGCCATTCACTGTGCATCAGAGTCGCCTTGATGGCAGCGAGCAAGTGCCTGTGCTCAGCCCTGTGTTTAAAAGGTCTTCTCGGTTTGATCTGTATCATTTCTTAAATTCTGTCTTTCTGTTGTGAAGCCATAAACAAGCACAAGGAAGAACAGTTGCCTGCATTTAAATGGCATGTCTTTTGTTGAACGGACACCTGTGTTCCCCTAGACAGATAATATATTCAGGATGAGCTTTCTTTTATCTTGTTGAAATTACTATAACCTAAGAAGCCCTGGGGCATTATGAGTTAGGAGTTGAACTGCCAGCCACCAGCCACTCCTAGGGAGAAAGACAAGGCTGTCCGCTCCCATCGAGATCGACGCCCTGAGAAATCCACGGGCCAGTTCCACTCATCCTGTAGGGTTATTACGACTTGGAATTGACTCGATGGCCATGCATTTGGCTTAGTGTTTAGCCAATGTTTAGCTAACCTTTGGCAAGCATTTTAAGGGATGAAGGATTAAATGTGGGGTGTGTACAGCTTTAAAGATGATCTTTGCCACTTGTTTCGTTTCAGTAGCAAAGAGGATCAAAAAAGATCCATCTTTCAGAAATCAGAGCGAGGAGGGTTTAAGCTGAAGGAGAACGTCCAATTTCATCTGTACATCAGCACCTCTCCCTGTGGGGATGCCAGGATTTTCTCACCACACGAACCAATCCTGGAAGGTAGGAGGCGAAGGAGCCTGGGTCCTCCAACCATCGGCAAGAGCTTTCCAAGAAAATCCATGGTTGTGTAGGGGCACAAACGTACACCAGTGTCCAGCGTTTAACATTTCAGCCACGGGTGTGGATCTGATCGGGATCTATATACAAGCACCATTTTTTTCTAATTAATAATTAGACAAGTTTAGTGACTGAAAATACTAATTCTTATGAATCAAATCATGAGAATGGAGCAAGGGTTTCAGGTGAAAGTTTTATTCATATTCAGAGTTGGAGATAATGTTTATTTCTGTGCCAGCGCTTCATCTTTCTGAGAGTTATAATTTGGTCAGTGTGTAATAGACGTACTTGCCTGACATTTCAGAGCATGGGAGAGACTAGTGAAAAGCAGGGCAGCTCCCTGTAGCAGGCTTTGTTCCCTCGTTCCATACAAGGTCAGCTTCTTTTATTACTTGCATCCACATGTTTCTCTTCACCTTAAGATTTACCCCAAATAGACAGTTGATTGCATTATTTTTAGAATTCGTTGATTATAGAAACCACACATACCCACTGTGGAAAACTGCTACACATGTGTAAAGTATAAGAAGGACAATTAAAATTACTCACATTCATATGGCTCAGAGATAACCCCGATATGTGCTTTAACATGATTTCGGTAGACTTATGTTTGCATCCACCCTGGTGGCATAGTGGGTATCCATTGGGCTGTGATCTGAAAGATCAGTAGTTCAAAACCACCAGCCACTCCACAGGAGAAAGACAAGGCTTTCTACTTCCATAAAGAGTTACAGTCTTGGAAACCCACCGAGGGAGTTCTATAGGGTCACTATAAGTAACATCAACTTGATGGAAGTGAGTTTGTTTTAATGTGGAGACTGAACATTTACAGAGGGATACCTAAGAATCCATCACCCAGAATTAGAAAATGTTAGAACATTTTGTTTCAGCTCATTTTCAATGATAGAAACAAACCATTTCAGCTAAAAGTAGGTATCCCTTTCTTCCTGACCCCTGAGGAGATCATTTTGTGAATTCGTTTTGTTTTACCTCCGTTTTGTCCATTATTATATGCCTATATTATATACCGTGGAGGTCTATAGCACTGTGAGTTAGATGTTAGGTTGCTAACCACAAGATCAGTGGTTCTGATCCACTGCCTTTCTCCCTGGGAGAAAGATGAGACAGCCTGTTCTCATAAAGATTTGCCATCTCAGAAACTCTGTGTAGCTCTCTGTTCAGAATCACGAGTCATAGTGGGTTTATATAAGGAACCTTGGCGAAGCAATGGTTAAGCACCTGACTAGGAATTGATAGGTTGGCGGTTTGAACCACCAGCCAGCTGCTCCAGAAAAGAAGATGTGGCAGTCTGCTTCCCTAAAGATCACGGCCTTAGAGACCCTGTAGGAAAAGGCTACTCTCTGTCAGTCTGCTCAACCGTAGATTTATGTGTGTAGATATGTGTATTTCCAAAGGTTTTCTCCTAAAATTCCTCTCCCTTTCCGTACTGTTTTTACTTGAACTTTTTTTTGAAACCCCGTCTTATATAGCATATCCATAGTATATCTGCACAAACAATTTTAAATTGTATGGTATATTCAGGTATGCTTTTTAATAAATTAAACAGGTGGTTCACTAACCTTCTTTTTACCCCTTAGAACCAGCAGACAGACATCCAAATCGTAAAGCAAGGGGCCAGCTACGGACAAAAATAGAGTCTGGTGAGGGAACAATACCGGTGCGGTCTAATGCAAGCATCCAAACGTGGGACGGAGTGCTACAGGGAGAGAGACTGCTCACCATGTCATGCAGTGACAAAATTGCTCGGTAAGTGTCCCCAAGGACACTATAGAGTCTTAAAAAGATGGGTCTTTTTCTGGGCTCTCTATGGTCTAGAGCAGTGGTTCTCAACCTTCCTCATGCCGTGACCCTTCAATACAGTTCCTCATGTTGTGGTGACCCCCCAATCATAAAATTAGTTTTGTTGCTACTTCATCACTGTAATTTTCTTACTGTTATGAATTGGGTGACCCTTGTGAAAGGTTCATTCGACCCCCAAAGGGGTTGCGACCCACAGGTTGAGAACTGCTGGTCTATAGCAAGCTATAATTGTACCCATCCCACAGCTTTTCACATGTTTTCTACCTTTTTATGAAACTTTATTCTCCCACTTATGCTTTAGAATCAACTTGTCAAATGTTCCTAATGACATGTGAGGATTTTATTTGGAACTGCACTGAAATTATGGATTGAGGTGGGAAATAACTCCCCTCTGGCAGTGTGACTTTGCCACTCTCCCATCAAGGGCTGATGCCAGGGCTTCCTCCCCCAGGCAGCTGGAGGAGAGGAGAGAAAAACCCATTTCAGGAATGAAAGAAGAGAAATCACTACAGCTAGTTAGAGGGATAAGGGGGAAATTATAAATAAACTTGTGCCCCAAAATGTAACAACTTAGATTAAGTTAACAAATGTCTTGAAATACGCACGCTGCTAGTTTCTGTGAACGAGGAAATAAAGGACTTGAACATCCTCAAGATCTGCTAAAGCCATTGATTTTTGTAATGGGAAACTCTCAGAAAGAAAACCTTATGCTGAGATGACTTCACTAGTGAATTCTTCCAAATACTTAAGAAGAAGCAGTACCTATTTTACACAAAAAATTTCCAGACAATTGGAGAAGAAAAGAATACTTACCAAGCTCATTCTGTGAATCAGCAATCCCCCAATAGCAAAGGAAGACAAACACTTAGAGAATAAAACTATACCCCACTATCTATCCTAGACATCGATGCAGGTGTTCTAACAAAAGCTAGCAAAACAGGTCGAATATCATGACCAAATAGGAATTATCCCAGGAATGCAAGGTTGGTTAAACATTAGAAAGTCAATCAATGTAATTCCTCACATTTACTAACCAAAAGAGACAGAGAAAAAGTATTTGGTAAGATTCAACCAGTTTCTCATGAAAACTCTGAACATAGCAGGAACACAAGAGACCCACCATCTCATAAAGGGCATCTGCATGAAATCCACATCTCTTCCCGTTGACTGGTGGCAGAGCGAAGGCTTCCTGCCCCGCCCCCACCCGACATCCGGAGCAAGCAAGGATGTGTGCTTGCACCACTTCATTGAGCGCTGTGCTGGAGGTTCCAGCCAGTGCCGTGAAGCTCCAGAAAACCAGAGACATCCAAAGTGGAAAGGAGAAAGCAAGACAGCCCTGTTTGCTTGTATACTACCTGTGCAAAATCAGGTAGATTGTATCAAAAAGCTATTAGAAGTAATGGGTGAGTGTATGGTCCAGCAACAAAAATCAACTGCATGTATATACTTGGAGCAGCTAAAATTAAAACGTATAAAGTAATGCACTGAAAGTTACAAACCATTGCTGAGAGAAATGAAAGAAGACCGAAATAAATGGAGAGTCATGCCAGTCTCATTCAACAAGAAACTCAATGGCACCAAGGTGCCAGTTTCCCGTAAATTGACCTATAGATTCAACACAGTCCCCAGTCAAATTCTAGCAGATTTTTTGTTGAGAAATTAGCAAGCTGTTTTAAAACTCATCTGGGAATGCAGAGTACCTAGAATAGCTGAACTAGCTTCTAAAGGAAGACCAAAGTTGAAATGCTAACTCTACCTGATTTTAAGACCTTGTAAAGCCACAGCAATCAACTAAGAGTCTAAGAGTAATTTTAGCATAAAGTTAGACAAATAGATCAAAATGATCAAGTAGAGAGACCAGGCAGACCCCAAAATCTGTGCAACTAGGTTTTAGCCAATGTGCAAAGGCAATTTAGTAGAGAAGAATTGTCGTTTCAACACAGTGTGAGGTCATTTAGATGGCCTTGTTCTGCACCATATATAAAAATTAACTCCAAATGGGCCATAACCTTGTGGTAGTTACAGAAACTCGTGTCAACTTGAGGCTATTAAGAGTGAAGTGGTAGCGTCTGACCCGCCGATCAGGTCACAGCCTGATGATGCTTCCTTGTGGGCACGGCCTTCTCCTGAGGATCCTAGGGACTCCTGTCTTCCTCCCTGGCTGTGGGACACACTTGCTCTGCTACACATCCTGTTGACAAGCCTCATGGGACCACACTGATGGCAACCAGAGCCCTGGATGTGCTTCCACCATCGCTGGGCCCACGAGACTTTTCACCCACCAGCCTGTGTCATCCTGCGTTTGGTATCACTGAGTGGCTACGTGAATCTAAAGAGGAATTTATGGACTAATATTGGACTTATGGTCTAATACCAGACTTGTGGGCTTGATCTTGACTGGGCTGGGATATTTTCTTAATATATAGTTACTCTTTGATATAAAGCTCTCGCTTACACACACGAGTGTCCCTGGATTTGTTTCTCTAGTCGACCCAGATAAACACAGACATAAATGTATAAACGCCATAGAAGAAAAGGAGAAAAGCAATGGGACCTTGGGTTAACCAACGTATTTTCAACACAACACCAAAAGCACTCTCCAAGAAAGAAAAAATGATGCATTCAACTTCAGAAAAGGGGAACGTCTTTTTGAAAGACACCTTTAAAAGAGTGAGACGACAAGTCAAAGGCTAGAGAAAAGTTTGTAAACCATGTACCTAATAAAGGAGTAGTGTCCACAACCTAAGGAGTCCTAGTCGGTTAGGCCATGGATTGCAAACTACAAGGTCGATGGTTCACACCCACCTACCCTCTGAGGGAGAAAGCAGCAGCTGTCTGCCTCCATCAAGATGTGCTTTTTTTGTATCCACAATATATGTAGATTCTAAAAATTCAACACGAAGGGAAAAAATAGGCGATTTTCAAAAAGTGGGGCTGGGGCACACTGTTTGAACAGACACTTTGCCCACCCAGATAATGGAGATCTTAAGTAGACACGTGAAAAGATGCCCAGGAGCTTTGTCATAGAGTTGGTGCTGACTCAACAACAGCCTCACGGGTGCCAGCTTGACTGCCTTCCAGGAGCGCTCAATGGCCGATTGTTTTCAGAAGCAGGTCTCTCCAGGCCTTTCTTCCACTGAGGCTCCTAGGAGCTGATCACATTAACCGTGTGCACCAGCCAGAGAGTTCTTCGTCGGTCATTGGTTGCTGTTACTGAAGACCCCGTATGACCGAAGAGGACTGCCCCATCGCTTTCCAGCTGAAATCCTTACGAAGCAGCTCGCCGGTCTTTTCTCCCTCCCAGTCACTGGTGGTTTCAAACTGCCCACCTTCCTACTAGCAGTGAAGCACTCTAACCAACGCGCCACTAGCGCTTCCTGTTCTGAAGAGAGCTCGTGAGTGATGGAGGTGTCCTTGTTACTTAAAGCTTTTGGCCCGCACTTGAGAACAGTGTGGAGGAGTACAGACCACACCATGGGACGGGCAGAAGTAGGGTGTGATTTCAGCCGTCCATGTTCAATGACTAAACCACGGCTATGGAGTCGGGCCCCAATTGAAGCCAGTAAAAGGCTTTGAGCACAGACGTCTGGAGGTGTCATGTGTGTCCAGAGCATCTCTGGAGAGTGACAAGGGAGTCTTTTCCCCCCATGCCCTGTGCATCTCTTCATTTGTATTTTGCTGGTTAGAATAAATGGTAACTGTCAGTACATATTTGCTTTGTGATTTTGGTGGGCAGTTCTAGAGAATCAGTGAACTCAGAGAGGGGGCAGATGAGAGCCAGCAGGGCCTCACCTGGTACGGATTGAGTCTTTCTAACTTGTGAGCTCCTGTCCTGGCTGGCCGCTGGTGATGAGGAATGCTTGCTCAGTGCAGCTGTCAATGAAGATGGGATTCGTCCTCTTGGCCCCATTAGTAGTGCATTGGTTCACGGATAAATTCCTTAGACCTAAACTTTGGGAGGAGTCCACCAGTGCTTCAAACATTTGAAGCACTTGGCTGCTAACTAACAAAATGGAGGTTCTAATCCACCTAGAGGTGCCTCAATAAACTTTGGTGATCGCCTTCTGATAGGTAGATTAAAAACCCATTGCATCACAGTTGTCACTAACCCCAAGGTCAGCGGGTCAAAACCACCGTAAGCTGAGGCTTTCTATTCTTGGAAAGATCCATTGTCCCGGAAACCCACCTGTCCGGGACACCCGGGCTGCAGTGCTCTGTCCTGCAGGGTCGCCCTGACTAACGACTGACTTGATGGCAATGGGTTTGAGTTTACGGAGCAGTTCGACTTCGACACACACAGGGTCGCCCGAGTCAGCGTCACCAGCAACTGGGTTCTAATCTTCAGCTCGTGTCACTGTGGCAAAGATTACCGCCAAGAAAGATGGCCCCACAGTTAAAAAGCTCTTTCAAGTAGATAGTTTGTCCTTTAAAATTTAAAACTGCCAGATCAGGTTATCTTCATGACTTCCCGTTGTGTTATTCCGACTGGCCGAAGCTTGCACAGAACCAGCAGTACGCTGTGTGAGTACCAGACTGTGTCGTGGGTGGGATCTCAGGTAGAGATGCAGCTTTCCCCTTAAGCGTGTGCCTCCTTCTCCTCAGGTGGAACGTGGTGGGCATCCAGGGGTCTTTGCTCAGCATTTTCGTGGAACCGATTTACTTCTCAAGCATCATCTTGGGCAGTCTGTACCACGGGGACCACCTCTCCAGGGCCATGTACCAGCGCATCTCAAACATCGAGGACCTGCCCCCGCTGTACATGCTCAACAAGCCCCTGCTGAGCGGCAAGTATCCCAGAACGAGTCGTGCGAGCTCGGCCACAGCCCTGGGTCACATGGACGATCCAAGTCCTTACGGATTGAAGAACACACTTAGGGAAGCCACTCTGTTACTGCCAAGGAAGCACCAGCCTTTCTCTCTAGAGGGGCCCACCAGTGATCCCTGGCCACTTAGGGGGGTGGGAGAAGCCCATCTCTAGAGCCTGGAAGTGGAAGTTAGTCTGTGTTGCGGACTGGAAACCTTGCCTGGGCTTGGCACCTCTCTGTCTTCCCTTCAGCCCACACAGTGCATTTGAGTCTCCCAGCCCCCCTCTCAGCCAGAGACTTCTCTGCAGGGGGGCTTGTGGGAGCACCACCTTTCCAAGGCCAGCTTCGTGTGAAGCTGACCGCCAGTGCCATCTCCCCTTACTGCCTCTGAGCTGGTTGTCAGTCAGTGACCTGCTGCCACCAGGGGAGCCCTCCACGGGCACTGGGGACACGGTGCCCAGCCTCCCTCCTGGGTGTGACACAGACATAACAAATTCACAGTAGCCGGTGTCCGGTGGTGTCCTGCACCCATCCTTTAAGACATACGTTGCTTTTTATTTTTTATAGCATTTCAGTGGCTAGCAGTGCAGTGAGCAAGAGATTTTGAATTCAAGGGTCCTATCTTCTAAGCTCACCCTTATTAAGAAGGACGCTGTTAAGGTATTTTCTTCCTTTTAAAAATACTGCCCTACTTACCTTTTTGAAGTTCAAAACTAACATCATAACCCTGAACTAAATGCGTTTCTGCCTGGTGTGCGTGTGCTCGCTCTAATGGTGCCTGGTGACTGGCAGCCTGCTCCGAGGGTACCCGTGAGGTTCTGTTCAAGAGCATGGCTGCCAGGGGTCGGGGGCAATCAAGCGTTACAGGTCCCTAACCCCAGCAGTGGCTTTCAGAACAACGACAAAGAACAACACTCACACTTGTTGGTAACTCCAGGTCTGTGGAAGGTGCACTAGTGCACAGATCAAATGCATTTCCTTCGTCCTTGATGTATGACTTTCTCATGAGTCAAAACGTGACTCCCCCCCACCTATTCTGTAAATTTTCTACTTGGAAGCAGAACGCTGGTGTTGAAACTAGTGGCAGTGTTGGGTAAGCGGTGAACTGCTGATCGCTTGCTCAGTGGTTCAAATCCACCAGCCATTCCTCAGGAGAAAGGCAAGGCTGTCACTCCCATGAAGATTGAGAGCCTTGGGAACCCCAGGCAGGGTTGCTGTGAGTCAGAAGCCACCCATGGCGTTGGGCTTGGTTTGGGTTTTGTGCTTGTTTGAAGCAGACCACATGTCGTCGGGGCTGTTCGAAAATCGTTGACCGTGCTTTGTCGGTTGGCAGTGTTTGCAGCCATAACTGGAATCTAAAAAGACAAGATCATTTTTCGTAAAATAAATATCCTTAAAGATTCAAAGAACTCATTTGTAAACTTCAAATGTATGTGATATATATATGACATACATACATGGCTAGAAAAAGATATTGAGAAGCACTATTGGCAAGATGGTGGCTTAAAAATTATCAACTATACTTCCTGTTTTACAGTGTACATGTAGTGTAAAAAGGAGGGAGCCTACCCTTTATCTTTCCCGCCCTGATTTCACCTCTAACCCCTACTTACTGCCATCAAGTTCATGTCAACGTATAACATCCCTATAGGACAGGATATAACTGCCCCTGTGAGTTTCTGAGACCATCAATCTTTGTGAGAGTTGAAAGCCTTGTCTGCCTCCTTTGGAGAAGCCGGTGGTTTCAAACCGCCGACCTTGCAGTTAGCAGCCCAACTTATAACCACTGCGCCACCAGGCCTTCTCATGTAACAACGTCCAGTCTAAAGCAAATACTGTTTGTTGTGTTACCAACCCAAGTATCACTCAGGATGGCTGGTGAACAAAGACAGAGTAGGTGAAAAGGAAAGAGGTAGGCTGACCAGCATATTGCCAAGGCAAGCTCTCAAAAACGGGGGTTTGCAGCTAGACTGCCTACCAGGAAGTAAATTGAGGCGATCCTGACTTTGTAGGTGACTTCTGAGAAGTGGTAAGAATCTGCGTTAGAGCTGGGTGACTGTTCTTGGCCAGGAAGGGCTGGTAGGACTTGTTGCACAGCATTGGGTGGGTTGGTCTGGTGGCATTTACAGAGATGTTTTTGTTGTTTGACCAAAGTTCTTTGGCCTTGGGGTTAATGTTGAGACTGTTCTTTCTGTGCATGCTCAGCAGGCCAGACCTGGTTGTAACTCCTACTCCCTGTGCTGTGTTGTCTTCAAGGAACGTTTCTACTTTCCTTCTCTGGGTTCTTCCATTGCAATGGCCACACAGACCTCAGGGACGAAATTCAGAGGGTTTTTAAAGGAAGTTAACAAACTAATGCCAGCGAGAAATTCTCGGGATCATTGTTTACCAGAACATGTTACTAGTTCTGTCAGCGCTGCTAATAGATGACCCTTTAGGAGCATACCATTTGCTGGAAGCCTCAACTCAAAGGCATTCAGCTCAAGCTCCCGGGGTCAGCAAACCCAGCTGGAGGCACCCTGCTGCACAAAACTCCTGCACAAAATCCCTCAGCTTTCCTTGCTCCCTGGGCTGAGATGCCCACCGCTGTGTTCTGCGCTGGGGCTCCCGGTTCTGCTGCAGCTCCTCGGATGGTTTAGCTGTCTTCTGGAGCCAGGAGGGTCACTGAGCAGGAATCTCAGGTCCTGAGGACTCGCTCCACTCTTGGCTTTTGCTGGTAATGGCATCCCTCCTCCTGCTTCTCAGAGGCCTCATTTTGTTTTGTTTTTAATCATTTTATTAGGGACTCATACAACTCTTATCACAATCCATACATACATCAGTTGTGTAGAGCACATTTGTACATTTGTTACCTTCATCATTCTCAAAACATTTGCTCTCCACATAAGCCCCCGGCATCAGCTCCTCATTTTTCCCCTCCCTCCCCGCTCCCCTCTCCCTCATGAACCCTTGATAATTTATAAAGTCATATCTTACACTGTCTGACATCTCCCTTCACCCACTTTTCTGTTGTCCCTACCCCAGGGAGGAGGTTATATGTAGATCCCTGAAATCAGTTCCCTCTTTCTACCCCACCCTCCCTCCACCCTCCTTGTATCGCCACTCACACCACTGGTCCTGAAGGGATCATCCGCCCTGGATCCCCTGTTTCCAGTTCCTATCTGTACCAGTGTACATCCTCTGGTCTAGCCAGACAGACTTGCAAGGTAGAATTTGCATCATGATAGTTGGGGGGAGGAAGCATTAAAGAACTAGAGAAAAGTTGTATACGTTTCATCGTTGCTACACTATACTCTGACTGGCTCATCTCCTCCCCACGACTCTTCTGTAAGGGGATGTCCAGTTGCCTACAGATGGGCTTTGGGTCCCCACTCTGCACTCCCCCTCATTCACAATGATATGATTTTTTGCTCTTTGATGCCTGATAACTGATCACTGCGGCACCTTGTAATCACGTAGGCTGGTGTGTGGGCTTTGTTGCTTCTCTCAGAGGGCTCATTTTATCCACTCCAGGAACTCCGCTCCCAGCGACGCACAGGTGAATCCTGTCAGTAACGTCCCGCACCTTCTGACCAGACCCCTGCAGGGCAAGGCTGTTGGTGGGAGTGAGAGACTGGCTAGAAGAGCCACACTGAAGAGTTCACTGCCCTGGCAGATCCTCTCCTAGGAGGAAAGGGCTCCAAAGAGACATGGGGGTGGTAGGTGTGTGTGTGTGGTATGTGTGCTGTGTGGGTGGGTGTGGTGAGTATGATGTGTGTGTGTGTGTGTGGTATGTGTGGTGGGTGGGTGGTGGGTATTGTGTGTGTGGTTGTGTGTGGTGGGAATGGTATGTGTGTGTGTGTTGGGTATGGTGTGTGGGGGTGGTATTTGTGGTGGGTGGGTGTGGTGGGTATGGTGTGGTGTGTGTGTGATATGAGAGTGTGGGGGTGGTATGTTTTGTGTGTGTGTGTGTGTGTGTGTGTGTGTTGAGTGTGTGTCCCAGCCTTCTGCCTCATTGCTGCTACTGTGGTTCAATGTTAACTTGACATCAGGTCTGTCTAAAGTATTTTGTTTTTAGATAAATGCTTTATTTTGGAGACAGTGAAACAGTGATTTTTGGTTGCTTTGTTCTTTTCCTTTAAAATCGTTCACATCTCCAAAGTGAATTGTTTGGGGGCAGACAGTGGTAGCCTGAGACCTAGGAGGGCAGGGGAGAAAGCCACTAGCAAGAGTTCAGGCACCAGAGTACCGATGGGAGGGCTGGGTGGGTGTGTACTGGGAACCAAGGAGGCCCCCGGTTGCCTGGAGAATGTTCATGTAGAGCAGAGGTTCTCAGCCTTCCTCGTGCCGCGACCCTTTAATACAGCTCCTCATGCTGTGGTGACCCCAACCACAAAATTGTTTTCGTTGCTACTTCATCACTGTCGTTTTGCTACTTATATGAACCGGACGACCCCTGTGAAAGGGTCATTCTACCCCCAAAGGGGTTGCGACCCACAGGTTGAGAACCGCTGCTCTAGGACGAAGAACATCGTGGTGTTCCCAGAGCCGGAGAACCGGGCAGGGAGAGCTCAAGGGAAGGATGCTGATGGACTGAAGCAAAGGCTTGAAACTTGCTAACGGACTGAAGCCCTGACATTTAAAAGGTACCTGGAAAATGACACAACCAAGACCTTTGGGCGATTTCCTCCTAGCATGTGTGTGCCCATGCTATGTGTACCTCTTTGTGCCCACCCTTTCATCCTAAAGAGTCTCCCCAAGCTGAGGAGAAAACGCCCTCTCAGGACAACACACGCATCGCCGTGTCCTTGGGAAGGAACACGTCCACACGACTCTTCACAAGACAGACTGACGGCAAATGCTAGGATTAACGGAGTAGAGCAAGGTTTCATACAAAGCAGGGCTGATGGAAAGAGAATGTTTAATAAGCACCGAACGACAGGCATACGATCCTTGAATGTCAGGAGGATGACAGTGAGAAGATGGGCCTTCTCCGCATG